GGGGGGGGGGGGGGGGGGGGGGGGGGGGGGGGGGGAGGGTAATTATATGAGTGAAGGGAGAGGAAGAGGGAGAAAACATGAGAAATATGAGCGATAGAGAGAAAGATTGAATCTTGCCTGATTCTGATGCAATCTGATAAGCGCTTCATGACAATCTCGCTCTGCCAAGATCCTGCTTGCCTCACTTATCATTAATTGTTCCCGATTGTATTTTAGCTGGCCCTCCATATCTGCCACCTGCAGAAACGTATCCGGACTGTTTGATTCACCTTCCTCACCAGAGCTGACCGCACCTACTCATTCAAAGAAGGTTGCTTGCCTGTTACTTTAACCAGCAGCAAGTACACACCAATTCTTAACAGCAAGGTGCAAAGTGCTCAGACTGACCGACTTTCTCAAAAACCGTGTGATTACATTTGAGCATGTCCCCTTCCAATACAAAACATGAATCAACAGTAAGAGAGAGAATAAATGCATTGAGCTGACAGCATGCTCTGACCTACATCTCCAGGAATTTCAACTACTCACTGCCCCTGATCTTGATAACAGCATTCATCATCTCCAAATGTTGAGTTTCAGTGTTCTCCAAAACTCCATTATCTTCAGAATTGTAATGACCCGCCATAACACAGACTGAGAACACTGCTGATTTCTGGAGTTCTGCCGATGGAATGGATGCCTTGCTGATATTCTCGCATTCTGCTGAGTTTTCTATGTCTGTGTGTGTGCGTGCTTGTGACCTGCATGCCTGTCTGAGTGCTTGTCGGTACGAGTGTGTGTGTGACCCGCAAGGGTGCTTGCTTGTTTGGCAGGCCCATAAGGCCAGTACTTACCTGTGGCCGTGGCATTGAGGGTTGCAGCAGGGAAAACACTCAAGTAGCGGAGCCAGGGGCCCGTGGTGCTTAGAGCAGCGGAAAAACACTCAAGTAGCAGGTAGGCCTGTACCGCACCCAGTAGCAGTAGATGTGCCGGGTACTCGAGGCCGAGCAGAAGAAGACAAAGTTGGCATTTTTAGAGGCCCAGTAGCGGTAAGCTAGGTCTAGGCCGGTACCAGTCCATCCAGTCTGAGTCTAGAGCCTGTATGGGCAATATCAGTGTCTGCAATAATGTTTCCCTCTGAAAGGGAGGAGGTACCGGTTGCTTGGGAGGCCGAGCGGCCAGGAAGTCATCGCCCAGGAGGCAAGCAGGCCGCTATATCAAGAGGCCGAGGGAAGAGCCCGGCCTCATTCTTCAGTGTGCAACTTTCGTGACACGCTGCTGGAGCGCTGGCTGGAGTGGCGCTGGGTACTACAGCGCTGCTGGGAGGAAGAAGCCGGGAGCTTCCACCTTGGCTATGGTGGAGCTCTACCGGTAGGAGGAGGAGGGAGAAGGGGACCAAGGAGGAGAGTGGCGAGGTACCTACCTGGCTATGGTGGACACCATCTTCATCACCTTGTTAGGCGCCGCATCTGGAAGGCCCCAGTTGGGGTAGTGCCGCATCAAGGAAGCTCGGGACAGAGTCAGGCATGGCGGTTGAGTGGGCAGCAGTATAGCTGTCTGGTGTTGACCTTGGGACAGAAGAGCAGCGACATAGCTGCTTTGGGTTGTCCTTTGGACAGGAGGGTAGAGCCCTTAGTGCTCCGCCATAGCCTCGGCCTGCATGTAGAGGAAGAGGAAGGGTGGCCATGGCTATGGCGGACCTCATGTTGTGCCTGCAGTAGAAGTGGGATTCGGACATTGATTCTGGTTCAGCCATTCAACATTATTATTGTTATTTCTTGTTTGAATAAGAGGGGGGGAGATAAGGAGGAGGAAATTGGTTGGCGAAGAAGAAGAGCCTTGTCATTGGCCTATGCTGGAGTACATCATCTTCTTCTTCTTTCTTACTTCTTCTTCTTCTTCTTTCCCTCTCTCTCGTCTCAAGTTCATTCATTTCTTTTTGCAATTGGATGGCATTGTACTTTCTGATGAATGTATACTTCGAAATTGGCCAGGATCGTAACAGAATCCTCAAATAAGCTCTGACTGAAAGTGATTGTGGTAAATGGTTGCTCTGCCAGACTGGCAGAAGTTCTGCGGAGAGAAATGAAAGGAGGATGCGGAGTGACAACACGCCCATCACCAATGATCCCATTACTTAAATCGATAATCTGCCTTAAGCCAGAGGACTGCATTTCAAGTGTTGGTTGAGATTATTATTGCTCGTTTAATGTTTATATATACCCAGGTCATATAAATCCATCATCTGCCTTAAGCCAGAGGACTAACACTTCAAGTGTTGGCTGAGAAAGCCTGAGATGATCGTTGCCTGTTTAATGTCTGGTTACTAAGTTCATATACAAGGGTCTCATATGCCAGCACTGCAACAGATTTCCACTGCCTAAGGACAAAAGCAAGACCACAATCTTTCTAGAATCTTGAAACTTGATGTACCATACAAGAATCTTTTCGGATAGTGATTGAGCGATGCAGACAAAGATTAGCATGGACAATTTATTGCAAAGGCAAACATGCAGTATCATACGAATATAATTGAATTATTCACAAATAAATCATGAAATCTGAAGGAGGGATGAGGCCTGTTTCCCTCTTTAGCCGCCTTAACACTTCCTGGTGAGATAGGATATTGAGTCTCCTGGGCACTGGATCGACTAGGCCATGGGATTGGAGGGCGCTGCTCTGTGAAGCATGGACCTCCCCCACGAACAGCGATTTCGAAAACAACATGTTCCAGCTCGGGAGGAGAGCGGTTATTTGGGCACTTGGAGGAAGCGCTGCACACACGATATTGAGGGAGTTCGCATGGATGGAGAAGAAGTAACGGAAATAATAAAACAGTATGTACAGCAAGAACTCCTCTCAAAATGGCAGAAGGTCAAAAACCAATTACAGACATATCACTCAAAGAAAGATATCCAACAGGCAATCAATCAATTCTCTAGGGGCTGGCTGGGTAGCGAACAAGGGGGCTGGATTGCCCATATCCGATGGGAGGGCGGACAGTCCCCCGAACAGGAGCAGGTTGACTTCAGGAGAGACTATTGCATCTGCTTCAAGGAATGGACTAAAGTGGACCAAGGAGTGCCACTGCGCTCACCCGCAGAGTTCCCGGATCCGTTCCCTCCTCATCAATTGCCATTGGTAGATATGCAATGGTATGGTGCTGAATAAGCACAGCTGCATTGTAGAGCTTTCGGGAGGGTTTAGGGGAGTTCAGTAATGTAGACAGACAGGCCTTTTGGAGGGCTTAGGACTGCTGGGGGAAACCCATATACAGAGGACTAGCTACAACAGGCTAACTTAGGCAGGGGTGAGGGGTGGTACATCCTTCCTTTTGGAAGTAATCAATGCCGTCCACTCGGGCCTTCCAACCATAATGGGGAGGACGTGGGGTGAGTCAACTTTGTACTTTCCATTGACTTGCCAGGGGAACAGAAACCGGACTGTTGCTTCCCAGAATGGTAGGAGCCAGAACCAAGTGGTTCTGAAGAAGAAAAAAAAATAAAAAAAAACACTTTCATGGCACTCCCGGAAAAGGGAACTACCACATATGACTATCGAATCTCAGTCTCAACATGATCGAAATAATAAACACTTGGTCCATGGGACAGTTTAGCTCTCCCACGTTCCGAACGGAAATGCAACACAGTACACAGGTAAGCAGCTGAATCTGATGATGGCATCAAATCATGCTCCAACTACCAGTGCTGGAAAATTGCCATGCTGCCATATCCTATACAGGACCAACAATATGTCCTCTTTGGAAGAAGAACAAGCTATGACCACTGCATACTTCACATCATTGTCACACCATACTTCACATTTTGTTGTCTTGAAAATTCATGGACTGTTCCGACAGAAGCTTGATACCTCATTTCTCAAACGAAATTCGAGCGCCAAATTGTGTAGCTTAGTACTGCACCATCTAAAACACAGTGCCTCAGGAGCATGAAGGAGTTGCAAAGATGGATCTAAGCTATGCCCCTTGGATGGTCGTCAACATCTCCCAGAAGGCTTGATGACAGACCTCCCTTAGGTTTACAATTCTCTCTCTCTCTCTCTCTCTCTCTCTCTCTCTCTCTCTCTCTCTCTCTCTCTCTCTCTCTCTCTCTTTCTCTCTCTCTATGTGTGTGTGTGTGTGTGTGTGT